TTCTGAATAACCAAAAGGCTCAGGATGTTGATATTTAGTTAGTAGCATATGCTGGGATCAAGGACTACTATGTTTGTTAAAGTGAATGACTTTGACTTATATTCAAGGTCACAGGGGTCAAATTTGTTTAAAATCTTTAAACAACCTCTTATGAATAACCATGGGTCCCAGGATGTTTATACTTTGCAAGTTTCATCCTGAGATGAAAGGCTATACAATGTGTTCAACATAATGACTTTGTTCGACTTTCAATCACAGGGGTGAAATGTTTTGAAAAAAATTAACAGGGTCTTTTGAACAAATTTTAATCATAAATACTGATATTTTGCCTGTAGCTTTATTTTAGATCACTTTAAGGTTACAAGTGTGAGTTTTATACCAGGTGAGCGATGCAGGCCCATTGGGCCTCTTGTTTTATTTTACTACAACACATTTTTCTTTCCAGTTGATTTACTTTTCCATCCCAGATGTAATCCCAAATTATCTTGTTAATTTCTTTTAGATATTTACATGGTATGCCCCTCGCTTCTATTTCATATCCTATAATAGATATTATTAGTGATTTAATGATTAAAGTTTTCCTGCTAAATGTTAAGTTTCTGGTTTTCCAAATTTGCAGACAGTGTTTTATTCTGTTGATTTTTTCTTGCCAAATTTTGTCATTATCTATCATATATCCATGATGAATTCCTAGAGTTTTCACATTTGTTTTTGTCCATTTTATGATATTAAATGTTGGGTCTTTATTTTTCAATAGTCCTATATACAAACCTTCAGTCTTTTCATAATTAATCTTGGCACCTGATGCTTTTTCATATGATTTTAATAGTTTAAAAGCTTCTCGAATGGATTTTTCTGTTTGATTGATTAGCTGAGTATCATCTGCTCAAGGTCAAGTTAAACAAGTCTGATTGTTTCAAACATTTAAAGGTGTAAGCCAAGGTGATTCCAAAGGTCCCTCACTGTCTTATTTTGCTTAAACTTAGTATGCCAGTATATGATGGCATTGTAAACTCTATCCAAGCATCATTTGCGACTATGGGGTAAGTTTTTGGGACTTCTGTAATGGTGCCCATTACAATAAGAATATGTTCATAAATGCATTTCATAATTAAGCAGTAGTCAGTTCCTCTCATAATAAGGTCAAATAAGTGCTAAAGTTAAAGATATCCTGATAAAATTTGCAGTATATCTGCATCACCGACAGATAATGTACAGTGCACTCTTGTTAGGTCATTGTGACCTTGACATTGAGTTTTCAGGAATATCTTGTCAGGGCCCTAACTTTTAAATCGTTAGAGGGGCGACATACTCTTTTTTTCACAAAAACATAATTCTAGTTATATGTTAAAGCCTGTCTTGTGTTACTTGGGTTCTACACTATTGGTTATTTAATGACTGATGTGTGATATCTTTTCAGGGCGTTTCTCCATCCTAACCTACAGCAGTGACGAGGAAGGTGATTTACCCATCCATGATGGAAAGTTTGTGGATGATAAGTTTAGTGAGTGCAATATTTGAATTTCTCTAAAGAAAATTGTGGAGGCCAAAGGTAAAAAAGGTGCAGTTAATATATATTCCTTGAATATAATAACTGTCAACTAACATAATAGTATATATACATATTTTTGAAGAAAATACATGCTTGTGTTGTCCAAAAAGCATTGGTAATCTTTTTAGCTAGAATTATTCAAACCTTCATCAGTGTAATTAACTCACTGTGTGCTGCAGTACAGAAAATTCAGACTTTCTATATTTTGGATTTCTGGTATATTTTACACAAAATTGTGATATTTTTGTCCTTCGCTCCTTTCCAGTTAGTGACATCTACAACACAAACACCAACAGTGTACCGGAGGACAGCGAAAAACCAGACAAAGAGAATGAACCACCACCAATTATGTTAGAAGGCAAGAAGAAAAAGTGGAAAACAAACGCAGTTCCACCAAGATTTCAAAAAAATGATGTAGATAAATCTCCCAAAAAAAGTCGACATGTTCCCCCTCCTCCCGGGTTTAGTGAGAGCTCTGTGAAGACTGAAAGTGAGGAGATTTACCCTAATGCCCTAGAGTATACTGCTGTGCACTGGAGTGGTGCAGGAGGTGGTCAGGTACTCGGTGCCGGAGAAACAGTGTCAAATTACCTGGTACCGCAAAGTCACCACAAGGAGAAACCTTTTGTGCCTGCGCCTAAGAAGCTTGGCGTGAGTGATGAGGTCAGTGCGTCGTGGGTGGAGGATGTGGAGATCCTTGGTGACAATGATGGGGAAGTTGTACACATGGACAGGATTGCTGCGCTAGAACAGACCAGTCCATCAAAAATTGATTTCTACAGAGTAGTCAACCAGGTACAGTAATCATTACCAACCATAGCAGAATAGTTCTTGTAATAAAGTGCACAGTGTAATCAGTCTTCTCTTTAGTCTTACGATGTACTCCTTTTCAGATTTGATCTCGTCTTCTAATTATAACAGTTATCTCCCTTTCAAAATAATATACAAGAAACTTTATTTAACGTCGCATACAGGTAAACAAGGAACATTAGCTTTTGAGAGCTATAATTGCGACAAACATGTAAAATAACAATAACATATTATATTACAAGTAAAGGGAGATAATCACATATATTAATAAAAAACAGTAATATTCATCACAGAAAAAGAAAGTATACATATCCCAGGTTTTTAAGTGATTGGGAGTCCCCTACCTAAAGGTCCCTCAGGATATATATATAAAAATAGTGTTAATATATGAAAAGCATTAAATGTGATCACAGATAAGTAGTATTCAGAATAGGTAAATAAAAGACATATTAGTAATAGTGAATGAATACTTGTATATCACACAAGAATTACTTAGGACTTAAAACACTATGAAGTGGAATATACATACGATGCTAATATAGCAAAGCATAAAAATTGACAGAATATACACTATTATATTGTGAATTAAAAATGATACCGAAATCAATTAACAAAATTTATCAAGTTATCAATAATATGACATTGATTTGACTACATTAACTTATTCATCACCCTATCTGTTATTTGGTGATATGTTTCTCTCAGATATTTGCTGGTGTAAACAAGGAAGATTACGATGTGACTGCTGCAAAGCTGAGGAAGCTGTTTTCTACAGGTACAACAAATTGATGTTTGATTATATCTCATAATCTATATTTGGATTGTGTGTGTTATGTCTTGGGGTTTTGTTTTATTATGTTCAATGTTTAATTGATATTTTTCCTTCGGCTGGTGCGCATAAGATTATTAAGTGTAGATAATCCAGCTCCCTTTCATCTCTACAGATAATCCTATCACCTTCATTCTCAGTAGAGAATTGATTTTGTCTTCATTCCCATTAGATAATCAAACTCTTGTCATTCCCAGTAGATAATTCAGTCACCTTCAATTCCAGTTGATTCCAGTCACTTTCCATCTCTGCAAATAATCCAGCCAACTTTGTTGGGGGTTATCTAGCAACCTTCATTTCCAAGAAGACAATCCAACCATCTTTGTTCTTAGTAGATAATCTGGCCGTCATTGCTGGATTGTGAGATGAGATAACACAATAACTGTCTCAATGCCATGTTTGTAAGGATGCCTCCCTCTATCCCCACCTTATTGAGGAAAAATGACCAGTTCACTGGATTTAGTGTTGACTGGGTCAATGAGATTAATCCTTTCCTTGTTGACCTTTTAATTAAGTTGTGAAACCCACTGACCTATTTTCAAGAGTATTTTGTCAATATATATTAAGTAACTTCATTGATTAGATCAGAACTGATATGAGATGGTCTAACATAAAATTCATCTCTTTTTGCAAAATCTGAATTACTTAATTGTTGAATGTGTGATTCATTCTTCATAAATTGTATTTAAGGATCAACTTGAATTTATTTTTCATATTATGAAGCTATAACACAAAAAAACGGAGTGAACTCTAAATAAACCGCAAAGCGGTTTATGATGAGAGTACACTCCAGTTTTTTTGTGATATAGCTCCATAACATGAAAAATATATTCAAATTAATCTTCAAAATTTAATCTGCTATACACAATCCCTGTGGAAATCCACTTTTATTGATGGACTCTTTTCTCTTAGAAGTTATTGTGCTGCTGTATCAACCAATCAAAAGCGACGTTACAAATGGTGACGTCATTTTTTTACGTTATGGAATGATAACATAAATGTTTAAGCCAATGAAAATGCTTGTTACAAGCAAGATTAAATTATAATAAAATAACATTTGTTTAAATCAACAGACCTGTTTGTATACCTGGACACTGACCAGCTTCAAGGTGTCATCAACATCCTGTTGAACAGGGCTGTGAGGCATTACGGAGAACTACACGACTGTCTGTTAGAAATCATAGAGCTGCTGAATGGTGAGTATAGCGAGAAATCAGTGGTCAGTTGGCTTTGGTGTCACAGACAGAAGTTTGGTTGATACTTTTGTTCCCTTACAATTTGATTTCTTGGATACATCTAATAGACTCCAATTTTGGCAGTTTCTCAATGGGTAGCGAACCAAATTTTCTTATTATATGACATTTTGTAACTTTTTATACCCCCACTTTCCGTCTGTCCTGACTGGTTTTCAGAGCCTTTATCAGCCACTGTTTCATGAATGGGCATCATACTTTGTATATAGGTACATTATGGGGAAGTGGTGAATCACATCTTAAATCAAGATCAATGTGACCTCAATTTGACCTCTTGACCTTGACCTTGACAACTCAAATAATGGTTTCTGGAGTATTTCTCAGTCACTGTTTCGGTACTTCACGGAAAGGCAGTGTGTCACATCCTAAAATGAGGTCACTGTTATCTCAATTTGACCTTAAAATCTTATGTATGATTGTGATTAGAGAAAAACGTTCAAATTTGATTTAAATAATATTTCTCATTTCATCTTATACAATTCTCTTCTCATTTTCAGTGGCGCAGGACTTTACTGAGTGCATCGTCGACGGGATAAAGAAGCTGCATGATATGTTCATCACGGTAAAATTACTTTTAATTAACGTCAAGGCCCAAAATAAAAACTTGTGTTTCCGCTGTCATCCTCAGAAAAAATAGAATAGGTATAGGTAGGCAAACTCTTTTTATTTTGGAAAATATTTTTACTATGCTGATATAGAGCAGGTGTTCTGACTTTAATGGTGCATATCATTAAATACCAATAAAAACTTAAGGATAGGCACAGAAATCAAGGGTAGGTAGGGTTTGATAGCAGAAAAACAAGATTTTTTTTTATTTGGCTTAAAGAACCCTAAATCATTAAACTAACACTATAAATGATGTTATGATCTGAAACTTTTAATGTATTAAGCAACATTTTTGAGTTTATAAAAAGAAATTCATTTCTTAGGAGTTTCAATATTGCATTGGATGTTTATATATACACATGTACATGTAGTATGTTCTCAGCTCTGTGCTTGAAATATTATAATTTATATCTGCTGTCTTCTCGAGAGTGTTTTTCAAATTAGTATAATTGATACAGAATGGTGACATATCTTCTGATATTTCCCCAGTTGATTTCAAGATGATTTTTCTTTAACTTTAAAAAAGCATTACTTGAGTTTTATACTTGATTTTGACAGAACAATGTTTCTTTTGTAAGGTGACAACAAAGGGAAGGCAACTTCATATGCAGTGCAGCAAGCTGTATGGGCACCTCTTCAGTCTGAGTCTGTTCTGGGACGACAGGTATAGCAGTTTTGGACAGAGGATAGGGTGGGGTCAGCAACTTGAAAGATATATTCTGTTTTGTTATGAAATGAATTCCGACACATAAACAGAAACGGTTAACTTGTAGGACTATGTTACGACCACACGTATCCTAATATATCGTGAGACTTGAACACTAAAGATGAAACAAAAACATGTTTTGATATGTATAAGTGATTTAGTTCTAACACGCATATACACACATCAGACCTAAGACTAGTTGTTGTACCGAACAGGTAAGTGGGGTTGATCTGTTGTTTGGCAGTTAGCTTCGTGTTAAAAATACCCTGTTAGGATGTGGCGCTGTTTACATGACGTGCCCATGTGTAAACAGATCACCGGGTGATAAACAACATTTTATTCCCCCATTTACCAGTGTGTTGTTTTTTGTGATAGTGGCCAAAATAAAGTGACATTAAGCAAAATTCACAAACAAGTGATATTAACAAATATTGAGTTTATACAGAGATTGCATAAAATTGCATAAATTACAGGAAAAACAAAGTGTTTCGAGAAAACATGATATTTACAGAAAAGTAACATTAAACGATGTGATATTCAGTGGAAAGTATGGTGCATGCATTTGTAAAAATGAAGTGATATACATTGTATGATGCTTTTCATGTATTTGTTATGGTGTTTTGAAAAGTGTTAACAATTCGTTGGTTGATGGAGTTGTTAAATCTGATGACAAATTTTCATACTATTGGTACCCTTTTCAGCGCCAGTTCCGTACAGAAATGCATTTTGGATTCGGTGGAGCGATGGATGTATTTCAACAAAAAGGTAAGCTTTCAGATTCTGAAAATCAATCTGTCAATTTCGTTTTTATAGTATTAAAGATGAAATATTTTCTGTTTGTGCCAAAAATAGGTACCCATCATTTCCAACACAAAAAAAAAATGAAAAAAAGAACTTTTTTTTTTTCAGAAAAAGGTTGTAAATGTACAAAAATCGGTTTGTTTTAAAATCACCTCCATATTTCCTTTGAGTTGATTCAAGCTCCTATTGTAACCATGACCAAATGAATACTTGATACTTATATAAGTGTACAATTAGCTGTTATACACATCAATGCTTCCTAATTCCACCACTATCTTAGGCTGACAGTATCTGCTATTCGTTTGTAACCAAAATGCAAGGGTTTTGCTGATAAGTTGACTTAACACAGCAATTTATTCAACGGCAATTTGTGTTTTACAAAAAGTAAAGGAATTTTCAAAAAAAAATACAAAAGAAATGTCTTACATATCCCTTTGAAATATTATTTCCAAAATATGTTTTGTGTAGAAATGACTTACACTGAAATTTCATAGAAATTACATGTTTTTGTTAATAACAAATAAACACAAAATAAAAACACTTCGAATTCAGGGCTTTCAGTTGAATCTTTGCATTTTGTGATTTCAAAGGTCCAAACAAGTCTTTTACACCTGAAAGTCAAGGTTAATTCTAGGGCATCAAAAACATGATTACTGAAAGCCACGAAATTTGTTTGATGTCGAAAAAGAGTTAATGACTTATAACACTGTTACACATTGAAAATGTTAACCCCACCAACTTAGTGCAGAAGTTTTACCCTTCAAAATGATTGTGTTGTACAGTGTATGAAGAGTTTAGCATTGTTCTATTACAGGGAACACAAACGGGTCAGGAAGACCTGGAACAGATCTACCTCAGCAGCTTCAAGACAATCTGGGTGATCATCGCAGACATACTGAAGGACAGATTCACAGACCGATATGACAATATTCAGTGGGAATGTCGGGACAAGCTTTTTGGTGCAAATATTCCCAGGTACGGTAAATCAATTCTAGTGCCTTCCTACGATTTATTGGAGCTTTTGCAGTATGAAAAAAATAGGTTTGAGGGTCGGGAGAGGAATTGTTACATTTATAATTACCGGTATGTATGAAAAGTATATTAATAAAGGATACAGGAACACATGGATGATATTGTGGTCATAAAAGAGTGCCTTCATACTTTTTCCAAATATTTATATATAGATTTATATCCGATGTGTTTTAGTAAGTAAGACTTTACTTCTTTGGGATTTATGCTCTAGTTTTATATATACAAAAATTGTTATAAGTATATTGGTGTCTGATCAATTCTGTATGCTTCCTCTAGCCCTCCACCACTGGGTCGTGTGTTCGAGACCTTCATGGGGCAGTCGCCAGGTACTGGCCGTAGATCGGTGGTTTTTCTCTAGGAACTCCTGCTTTCCTCCACCACCACCAAAACCTGGCACGTCCTTAAATGACCATAGCTGTTGATAGGACGTAAAACACAAACAAAACCAAAAGTATGCAATCTTTTACTCTATACCCTCTCTGTATATTCACAGGTCCACAAAGGAACAGTTGCTTGACCTGTACATCAACTGTTTTGTGGTGCCATCGGAGAAGGTCACTGTGGCTGTAGGATGTCAGACAGATCCCAAACAGAAAGTACAGACATCCAGCACAGACCAGGAACACCAAGGTTTGTAATCTCTTTTCCGTGGACTGAATACACAGCTTTGTAATCTCTTGTCCATGGACTGAATACACAGCTTTGTAATCTCTTGTCCATGGACTGAATACACAGCTTTGTAATCTCTTGTCCATGGACTGAATACACAGCTTTGTAATCTCTTGTCCATGGACTGAATACACAGCTTTGTAATCTCTTGTCCATGGACTGAATACACAGCTTTGTAATCTCTTGTCCATGGACTGAATACACAGCTTTGTAATCTCTTGTCCATGGACTGAATACACAGCTTTGTAATCTCTTTTCCTTTGACTGAACATGTACACCCAGGTTTGTACTCAATTCAAGTTTATTAAAAATCATGACCTTGACCCATTTTCAAGGCATATGAGTCAAATGTGTTAAGTCTTCAGTAAACTTCCAGGTAACAAAGAGGCTTTTGGTAATGAATTTTGGTTAGTAGCATGCGCTGAGATGAAGGACTTTCAACCTTGTTGTAATATACCGGTATTCAATGTTTAACAACATTTAAAATCTGTAGTGTTGGCTTGTTGCCTATCATCTTTGTTTTGATTGATTTGACCTTGACCTTCTTTAAAGAGAGCAATACAAGCCCATTGAGCCTATTGTATTTTTACTAGGTATAATTATCAACATGATTTCCTACAAAACAATGACCGTTAACAAATCAAATGAAATGGTTTAATGTAAATATGTGTCACATGCTAGTGTATGATTTACCATTATTGTATGCCAAGTTATGTTTCTGTGGAATGAAATGTGTTAAAATCTAATTGTCTATTTTGTTTGTATCCAGCACTCCAGACACCCAGTGAAAGTCCAAAAGCGCCGCGACACCGAGGGAGTGAAAGTTCTAAAGCGCCGCGACACCGAGGCTGTGAAAGTCCTAAAGCGCCGCGACACCGAGGGAGTGAAAGTCCTAAAGCACCGCGACACCGAGGGAGTGATAACTCCTTTTCACTCCTGACTCCTAGTTCTTTTGCTGCTGCATCAAATAATAGTATGTCAACAGTACCAGGATATACCACTCCTCCACGGCCATCAACAGGAGTTATCTCCCCTAGCTGTTCGACAGCTCTCACTCCTCTGTCTCACATCTCCGCGGACAGCAGTGCCTACTTCACACCCGACGAATCACCAATTTGTGCCGATTTCCCTCCCCTTGTTCATTGTGTGACTGGAGATGGTGGTATGAAAGAGAAGAAAACATGGGTAGACCAGGTTGGATCACAGCCTGTTGTTGAAAATGTGCCCAGAAACGACTCTAACATGTCAGAGAGGGACTATGCAAGTCCCAAAGGAGCAGAGAGCCGGACAGTTCACGGGTCACCTGGGGAATCTTGTGACAAGGTAATACAGAGGGCAGAAGTCAAATCACCAGACAAAAAGTCTAAGGTGTCGCCACCAAATACAAAAAAGTCTGTGTCCACTCTTAGTAAGGATGGTCAACCTCAAAAGACGAATGCAAAAAAGGTAGTGAAAGAAACGGCAAAGGCGGTACAGGATACTGCCAAGTCCAAACATAAAGAGGGACATCACAAAAAAGGGTCATTTCCACTGTTAAGGTATGGATTAGCCACAAGTGTCCAAAACACCCATAAACCAACTGGTGACTTAGACACTTCTGAGGCCACACTTTCATCACACCATAACTTACAGAAAAAGTTAGACATGAACTCGATCATGATGGACTTGATGACCAGTTCTGATAACACTCGCAACAGTGCATTGACAAGTGACGCAAAAGCAACACAGGGTTCCAGGAAGAAGAAGAAAAGTGATAAAAAATCTGATCCTAAAAACAATAACCGGGTAGATTGGTGGTCCATGGATGTGGATGGTTCCAATGGCGAGGGTCACGATCAAGAAGTTGATCTAGGATGGTCGGCTCACAGTTCTGACGACTGTGAAGTGTTGTTAAATGGTGTTAAGCCTCCGATTACAGCTAAAACAAACTCAACCGCTGCTTTCAAAGCGGAAAAGTCATCCGGGAATTCCACAACTCAGGAGGATGATGGTGACGTAGAATGGGAGACGGACAACAGCGATAATGATGATGCATTGGTCGCTGCCATTTTGAAACGTGATTTAGGAAATTCTAGGCCAGCTATAAAGCAACCCTTAAAACACGAGCAGCCATGTTGGCGACCGGGAGTTAGGAAATGTACAGGTTGTGGTGACGATTCACACACGATCTATGAATGTCCTCACAAACACAAAAATGCCTTCTTCTAGTGGTAGCTCGGACCAAATTTTCGCATTTGGTTTAAATTGTTATTGTGGCGTACACAAGAGAAACCCTGTCAATCCAAACTTGTGTGGAAAAGGCGTTTAATCTGAATAACCAAAGATTTCACAAAGGTGTTATGTTAAATCAGATTTCGCAGGTGTTTTTTAAATTTAAGTCTAGATTCAAAAAATGTATTTGTCCAAGGTACATTGTAGTAAGTACTAGTATCTCTTTGGTGCCATATCTGTGTGTAATAGTTATTAAAATTTCATGTATTGCAGGAAAAATCTGTCCTGAACAAAACGATGTTGTTGGATTGCTGCAACTCCTTTAAAAATTTGTAGAGAATCTGTGTCAAGATTAGAGAATCCACGGTTCAAATCCTGGTCTGTCCTGTTGCATTTTTCAAGTCCTGTTTCATTGATACGAGTTTATTTTGTTTTCAAAATGTGCCTTATAATAATTAACTGTAACTAAATAAAACAAACTCTGTTTAGGAGAAGTAAAACAGTTTTAACCCTTTCTCCACTGTACACCATAATGGACTCGTCCAGAACAATGCACGGTCGAGTTTATTGAAGTTACATAGGGTTGAAAGGGTTAAACACACTTGATCCATTTTGGTACGTTTCCTTAGCAACGTTTCTCGCAGGTTCCCATGCCATCTCCTGGAGTGTGGAGCTAAAATGTGCGGAGTTCAATTTTTTCCAGTTTCATAATCAGTTGGTTACAACATTATTTGATAAATTCACATATAACAATATTATCTTCAACATCTTGATTATTAAATTGAATTTACACTTGCATTGTCCTCAATATGAGCATTAAATTTGTTAATTGGTGAAGATTTTTTTCCTGCACATATGTATATGTATTTGTTACTGCAATATGTCAAAATTCTACTTTTTAGTGTATTTTCCGGACTTCAGACATGTGACACTAATGTGTAAAGAATTGACTAACAGTTTTCACCTTTACTTTTTGATGATTTTTTTAAGAAACCAAAGTGGATCTCGACTATTAAGACTCGTTGTCAAAGTTTGAGTAAATTGAGATCAGTTTTCCTTTTCTACCAGGTATACCAGGGATTTTTAGGTCACCTGAGCTTTAGCTCAAGTGACCTATTGCTATCCGTTTTCGTCCGTCGTCCGTTAACATTTTACATTTCAAACTTAAAGTCAAGTTCTGCTGGGCCGATTGAACTGAAAGTTGGTAGGAATGATCGCCTCATGGTCCTGACAAAGTGTTGTTATTTTTCGGGTCGATCAGAAATCCAATATGGCCGCCACGGCCGCCATTTTGAAAACCTATTTCAAACTTAAAGTCAAGTTCTGCTGGACCGATTGAACTGAAAGTTGGTAGGAATGATCGCCTCATGGTCCTGACAAAGTATTGTTATTTTTTGGGTCAATCAGAAATCCAATATGGCCACCACGGCTGCCATTTTGAAAACCTATTTCAAACTTAAAAGTCAAGTTCTGCTGGACCGATTGAACTGAAAATTGGTAGGAATGATCGCCTCATGGTCCTGACAAAGTATTGTTATTTTTTGGGTCAATCAGAAATCCAATATGGCCGCCACGGCCGCCATTTTGAAAACCTATTTCAAACTTAAAGTCAAGTTCTGCTAGGCCGATTGAACTGAAACTTTGTAGGAATGATTGACTGATGGTCCTGACAAAGTGTTGTTATTTTTCAGGTCAATCAGAAATACAATTTTGCTGCCATGGCCGCTATTTTGCTACTAAGTTCTAATAGGCCGATCTCACTTAAAATTGGTCTAGGAATGATCAGCTCATGGTCCTGACAAACTGAAGTTAACATTATACTATTTTTTACTCAAATTTGTACATATTTCAACAACAAAAATAAATACTGTAGGACTCAGGTGACCGTTAAGGCCCATGGGCCTCTTGTTTTATTTTACAGGAGAATTTATTTGACACTAATTGAATGCCCTGCCTTTGAACAGGAACAGATGACACCAAATTTTAATACCCTGCTTTTGAATAGGAAGCGATTACACCAAATTACACTAAACCATGATTAGAGTACATCCCTTGATGAATACGTGCTATATTTCATCTATAAATGCGATGAATTCTTTTGATATTGTTCAAAAATGAAATGCATATGTGAAAAGTATTTATACCAAAAGTCCAAAAACAAATGTTGTTCAGATACTGGGAATATTATATGTATTACAGTTGCAAATGACATGAATGTTGACAATTTGAAAGATCTTGTCAATGACAAGTTGTACTATATGCTGTGTGAGGCCCTTTTATTTTGATTGGCAGTGTACATGTTGAGTAAATGTTACTCTTTAATTGTCCAGTTAAATTTCTTCACACCAAACTTAACATTGGTTATATAACTGTGTATTTGGTATAATAGTTTTATTATAAGTTCAAAAGTTAGCTGGTGTTAGGTTTCACAAGTCCGCCAAATGTATGTTATTTTTATTACTGTTTATCATTTAATGATTTTGTTTGAAATATCACACCTTGATTACGGTACCTGTAATGATTTTGTTTGATATATTACACCTTGATTACGTTAACTGTAATGATTTTGTTTGAAATATCACTCCTTGATTACGGTACCTGTAGTGATTTTGTTTGATATATCACACCTTGATTACAGTACCTGTAATGATTTTGTTTGCTATATCACACCTTGATTACGATACCTGTAATGATTTTGTTTGATATATCACACCTTGATTACGGTACCTGTAATGTTTTTGTTTGATATATCACACCTTGATTATGATACCTGTAATGATTTTGTTTGATATATCACACCTTGATTACGGTACCTGTAATGATTTTGTTTGATACATAAAATATTTACCTTTATCAAGCTTCACCTTAACCACACTCCAAGTTGACGTGTCCACCCATTTATATATATTTTTTTATAATCAAAGTTAAAAGTACAATAGTCCTGTAATCGGATTTAGACATTATTTTTTTTCAAATGCATCTATATACTATCATATTAAAGAGAGTTAGTAACAATACTTAATTTATAATTTGAATTTATACTTTCTTAAAGCTTGATATCATATGACTTGGTTGTTTATCAGTATTTATCAGTATTTTGTCATTTTTGTTATGTTATTGTATTTAAGTTATGTCTGAACTTGCATATTATTTATAGTTTTTATCTGCCAAAGATAAAGTTAATTCCCACTTAATTTATAATTAATGACAGAGCATAAAAAGTAACAGGAAACTTTCCGACTTTTATTACTTTTTACCCTCAGTGATGTCATTTAGCTCACTTGGCCCTTCATATCCAATCCCTGTTCTCCAAACTCCAACTATTTAGTGATATCATGTATAATTTTATGATATCATAAAATTTGATTAATCTTATTGAAAAATATTTTTTTATATCATACTATAAACTTCATGATATCATAATAATTGATTTATATCACAAGAACAACTTTATGGTATCTTTTTAGCCCACCATCATCTGATGGTGGGCTATTCAAATCACCCTGCGTCCGTCGTCCGTCGTCCGTAAACAATTCTTGTTATCGGTATTTCTCAAGAAGTACCAGAGGGATCTTTCTCAAATTTTATATGCAGGTTCCCCTTGGTCCTTAGCTGTGCAGGGCAACTTTTAAGACTGATCGGATAAACAACATGGCCGACAGGCAGCCATCTTGGATTTTGATAGTGAAAGTTTGTTATCGCTATTTCTCAAGAAGTACCAGAGGGATCTTTCTCAAATTTTATATGCAGGTTCCCCTTGGTCCTTAGCTGTGCAGGGCAACTTTTGAGACTGATCGGATAAACAACATGGCCGACAGGCAGCCATCTT